TCAACATTTCTACCTTTTTATTTGATACTATTTATTTAATGTCACTTTTTAATCTAAAGTACTTTTGACTGGGATCAAAATGTAAGTTGTATGTGTTATGAATGCATGTGTTATGTTATGATAAATACAAATAGCTTTATGTGTTTTGATGTTAGCTATTAATGTGTTGCCGTCTACCTACTGATATGCTATATATAAATGTATATTACTCAGTCCACCTGACCTGTTTTATTCTCTAGCATAGTTTACTCTCAGCTTGAAATTAACAACTAATTCGTCTCCATTGGCCCACACAATATATAATTATTCCACTTTCTATTATAGCTTTTGTTTTACTTTGCTTTTCTGGAGCTAATTGTATTTAAATCTTCGTTATATGTGCAAAATCATCTAATGTACCTACCTTTACCTTTTAAAAACTCATTTCAGATGTGCCAAGCTTCTGTGATTAGTATTCATTCTCAGGTTTTAAAAGATCAATCCTGTAATTGTCTTAGTTTCTGTGAATTTTGTTCCCAAAACCCACTTGCTGTAAGACTGACTTACCTCAGGGACTACTGAATAGTCCCATCCCTAAACTTCCTTTTGCTACTTTTCTTAATTTATATGTTCGTTACACTTTAGCTAATGTGAATCCTAAAACAGGACATCTTAAATTATTGTTTGTGATCACGTTTTACTTAATTTTTATTCATTACCCAAGCTGTGTAGTACATAGATCTATAGAATAGTATACAATTTAAATTTTTATTGATAGGAAATCATAAGTACATTTATTTAAAAATAATTATCTGATATATGTGTATAAAATTTTATCCTTTATTAAAGCAAATCTGCATAATAATCTATGTGTTTATTTTTATTTAAAGAATTAAATTGTAGCTGATTATTTGATCCTTGGGACACACAGTATTTTTAATGTCTTTTGGAGTTTGTTGATATTCTGTAATGACCAATCCTGAGAAATCCACAGGGGAAAAATGGCAGACTAATATTTAGAGAAATTTAAAAAACCATTGGAAGTTTTGTTCTAGTGACAAGCTAAACTTTACTAAGTGACATTTAATAAAATTAAATTAGTCATTCAAACAGTAATTTTTAAATTTAATCATCCAACAGTATAGTTCAAAGGTATATTAATTTCATACACACACTAAGGAATAGCAGTATAAAATATTAAAAGGCCGTTTCCTATAATTAAACCTTTATGTTTACATAGGAGCAGATAACTATGCATGTATAGTAAACACTGCTGTTCATAATATACCTTAGTCTGGCATCTGAGCCGTAATGTTTCAGGTAGTGTGCATTGGCTTTGCATGGTGTGATGTTATGTACAGTGTAAACTGTGCCTATTGTGTGTTCAGAACCAGGCCAGCAGTGAAGTCACACATTGCAACCTAGGAGCATGTGGTCAAAGACACCTCACTTTCAATGTACATTTAATGTAGAATTGATTTTTTTGGTTGCCAGGAGTTCAGAAACTTCTTAACTCATGCCATTTTGTTTGTTAACCCCAACCCCCCCCCATACAGGTTCCTGACACATAGTTTAACAAGATGGAGTCAAAACTATACAAATGAGTTTATTTCTCTGTATGTATATATTTATATAACCCCTAGGCAGATCAAAATAGAGTAATTCCCAAGCCCCAGCAGGATTCCTCAGCCTGATCCATTAACCCTTGTCTCAAATATCTTGTCTGTGTTCAATGTGTCCAATTAGATTAACAATATCCTGCTGTGTATGCTCTTGCCTATTTCCCTTAGTGTTGTCTGTAGATTTATCCATGTTGCCTGTAGCTATGGCTCATTTCTTTTTGTTGATGCACAGTACAGTATCTTACAGTATCAGTGTGCTAGGAGAATTCTCCTGTTGAGAACCACTTTATATGTCACGGCAATCTGTAGAAATTCATCTGAAGAAATTATAGCAGCTTTCTGCTTCTTCTTATGAGTGACTCACCTTTTCTTTCTGGATATAGAAAGAAATTTTATAATAACCATTAAACTAAGGTCAGTTTAATCAAGGTTTGCTTTCTTTACAGCTTTTTTTCAATTGTGCCCCATTGATTCATAAAGCTGGTACCTTTTGTTCTATATTCCAAGAATTTTTCAAAAAAATTATTAAAAATCTTGGGCTGGTGAGATGGCTCATTGGGTAAAAATCCTTTCCACATAAGACCAACAACCTGAGTTTGATCGAAAATCCAAGGTCCCATGGTAGCATGAAAGAAATGACTACTGAAAGTTGTCCTCTCATTACCTATTGTGTTGTGCATTCTGCATTCGCGAGATACAACCCACGCATGCGTAAGCAAAATAGCTTATTTTTAATCTTAAAATGTCTTTAAAACTGTTTATCAGCGTGTATCAAGTATACACAATAATGGGCTTCGTTATGACATTTTCATAAAATATATACCACATGTCCATCACAAACCCCCCTTTCCCACTTCCCACCCCTCCCATTGACTCTGTTCCTGTTATCAGAGAGGCAACTTTTACTCAGAATATTGTCTGTGTATTCATGTGTAGTATAAGCACAGGTGTTGTTATATATGTAGGTGTTCATGAGGGTATGTTCACGTATGCATATGGGTGTGCTTATACATATATGTATGTGTGTGTACATGGAGGTCAGAGGTATATGTAAGGTGTCTTCCTCAATAGCTTTCCACCTTACAGGGTTTCTTATTGAACCTGAAGCTCGCGCTCACGCGGATAGACTGGTCCATGAATTCCAAGGATCTGCTGCCTCCACCTCTACAGTGCAGGGGTTACAGATGCCACCTCCAGCTTTCTTTTCTTTCTTTTCCGGAAGTCAGGTCCTCATACTTGCACAGCAGGCCCTGCACCAACGGGAGTATATCTGCAACTCCTTCAGAGTGACTCAGTATAGCCTTTCCTATATCCACTTCCAGGGTTTGTATTATTCACGTACTGCATCGTTTCCATTTTTCTTTTCATCCACTTTATCATAATTTCCTACATTGCCTTGATTTCATTCTTAACATTTGCTATGTAGCATCCAGCTTTGTTTCAGGTTGGAAATTAAAATGTTCTTATCTAGTTATTACTTTTTAAAATTCACTTGGGTAATGTAGTTTTTTTAAAATTAAGTCAAATTTCCTTTATTTAAGCTATGGTGATTTTTTTTTGTACTCTAAATGTCTGACAATTTCTCTATTATTTTCACTAGTCCTCATATGGTAACTTTTTTATTGTGATGATAATTGTCATTGTTATTATTGTTTGACATTGTCCCTTCCCATAAAAATTAGTACTGCTAATATTTACTTTACTCATGTTTATCTAAGCAAAGGTTAGACTTTCAGTGTTAGTATGGGCAGGAAAATATCCCTTTGCGTTTTCTTCCTTATCTTATTTGATACTTTTAAATGACGGGCTTCTCATCTGCCTCATGTGTCTGAAGGAAAAGGAGACAACAAGGATCGTTGTTTTATTGTCAGCACAGCAGCTGCAATTGAATCTACTGCTGTTCCAGCTGCTGACTGTGGCTCTGTGACCACTGCCCTGCTGTTCAGGTGGAGGTCTGGTTGGATGCAGAAGTCCCTCCACAACCACCGCTGCCTCTGCAGCCAAATGTAGTTTGGGGATGATTGTATTACTTGTTTGCTTGCTTGCTTGTTCCTGAGACAGAATTTCTCTTTTTAAAAGATCCGTCTGTCTTAGAACTAGCTCTGTAGACCAGGCTGGCCTTGGATTCACAGAGATCCACCTGCCTTTGCCTCCTGAGTGCTGTGGTTAAAGGAGTGCACCAGCAATGTAGTTTTTAACTAAAACTCTGTCATTTTATTTTACTTAGAAATCACATGCTGAAGTGAAAACCTGCTAGCTCAGAGAGGCTGGAAAGCAAGCAGCTGACCTTCCTCCTTAGCAGGTGACCCAGCAAAAGCATCTCTTCTACAATCTCCAAACCAAAAAAGAGTGCCACACTCAAAGTCCCTCCCTACTACTTCCTGTGCATTTCTATCTGATTTCCTGACTCCCTCTAATTATCTATGGCTGTTTCCTGTCAACTAGTTGCTGGTTCTGCCTTTTGACTCAAGGTTTTATTTAATTAATGCAAACTCAGAGTTTGCAGTGTTATCAAATATTACCACAAGGCAGGGTTTTATGTGAGCCTCTGCAGCTGGAGGTCCTGGGTGGTCCTTGTAAGGCCTTCTGCAAGGTCCTCCCTTCTCTTGCTGTGGAGAAGTTGGATTTGTGGGCTTTAGTTTCTCAGACTCAGCTTTGAGCCTGTCATGTAGTATCCTGACACAGTAGCCCTGTGATGGGGTAAAAGGTAGGAAAGAGATGCCCAAGGATTCTGAGAGTTTGTTGACTCTGATTTCTCATCAGTTTTGGCTCTGAGTGGGAGATAGATCTTAGTTCTCTATTGTTCTATGAGAGCCTACTATTTAATTCAATGATAACATTTTATTATTTTTAAATTTTAATATATTCTGATACATGCACACACACACACACACACACACACACACACGCACAAACTAGTGGGTGTTCACAAGCCACAGCAAATGTGTGGAAGTTAGAGGACAATTTATGGTACTCAGTTCTCTTCTTGCAAGATGTGGGGTTCAGGGTTTGAACTCAGGTTCTAGTTGGCAGCAGCTAACTTTACCCAGTAAGCCATCTAGTCAGTCCACAGCTTATTACTTCCTGACACGTGATTACGCCACCTTCTTTTTTAGTTTTCACTGTTGAATTCCTTCATGCAAATAAAACTTTGTTTTGTTGGTTACTGGGGAGTCACATTTGCACAGTGAGTAGAAAACTCCCGCAAGGCAAGGACCGTGTAACACCTTATTTATTTTTTAATCTGCATAAGAATAGCAACATTTTTCAATGCTGGTATCTGCTATATGCAAATTACCATGCTTACCAAACAGTATCTTTCACGTTTGCAGGATAACATGACTTGCTGTTAGCCTTGTAACTATATGGAAACTGAAACATTTTTTTCTCTTTTTCCAGGAAATACAAAAGACATCCTCCTGATACATGAAGAAGATGCTGAGGAATGGGCTCTGTACTTGCAGGAAATATTTATACATATAGTAGAAAGAGAAGCAATAATGTTATATCCGTTGTGGAGTTTCTCTTCTTCACATTTGGAATTGCTAAATTTAAATGCTTACAAATGTAAACTTCTGATATTATCTAATAGTCTGCTTAAAGACCTAACGCCAAAGAGGTGTCAGTTTCTAGAGAAGATACTTCACTCACCAGAAAGTGTAGTGACCCTGCTTTGTGGAATGGAGAGCTCGAATTCCTTCTTTGAATTAATAAACGTCCCCAGAAGCAGGTGGGAGATCTCAACGGAGCAAGAGCCTGAGGACTACATCTCTGTTGTCAGACAAATCTTATACACAGGTAGGAACTCCAAATCCTCTTTGTTGGTTTTTAAATGTTTATTTGCTTATGTTTCACAAATGGGAGGGCTGACGAGGATAGCTCAATAGTTAAGAGCATTGGCTGCCCACTCTTCCAAAGAACCCAAGTTCAATTCTCAGCATCCACATGGCAGCTCACTAACTCCAATTCCAGAGGATCCAACACCCTTTTCTGGTCTCAGTGGGGACTAGGCACACACATGGTACACAGTTAGACATGCAGGCAAAACACCTATATACACAAAATAAAATGACAATTTTTAAAGTTTGTTAAGCCTATGAACATCTGATATAAGGATAAGAACATAAAATGAATGCCAAGTTCACCTAACAATGTTCTGGCTGGTCCACAAAATGCAATAAGATTCTTCATTTTTAGCTTTATTCCAGTCAAAAATTAGCATTTGGGCACCTTGGACAAGACTATGATGGCTTAAGCAAGCTCTGTTCTGTGCGATGCTGTTTGCTAGTTTGTTTCTGAAGGTAACATCTGGCATAACTGGTAAACCCTGAACTACTGTTATCTATACTCATGTTGTCACCAGCCAAGAGCAGTTCAATGTTCAAAAACAAATTAGAATGCAGAGCTTCTGTTATTCTTACAACTGCATGATATATTATTACGGAATGGAATACTGTTATTTCACTGACCTTAAATGGCAAATGTGATCTTAAGCATAGAGTCATGATATAAAGAACACAACACAAGTTATGTAAGTTCTTATTCTTTAGCTAATTGCATTCCTGTGCAGTAGTCAGGTTCTCACACTCATGTCAGTAAACGAATTCCCTCTGCACTGCCCAGATGTGTCATAGAAGGTGTTACATTCAGATGCTTCATTGGTTTCTCAGCCTACACACGGCCTCCAAACACCTAGCTCCGTGGCTATGGTTGTGCCTCTCACAGGGAAAGGGTAGAGTTATTATGTCACTCTGGCCGTATGAGATACCAATGTTGGCTCTTTTTCTTGGGGCATATTTCTGTATTCTCTTGTGACCCCTCATTCTTGGACCCTGTCTGTACTTTAGTCACTTAATGGAACAAACATCTCTTCTTCAACACACGACCATTTGTTCTCTCTAGGTGGGTTACTACTCTTTACACTCAGGTCTCTCCAAAGAAGGCCCTACTGGTTATCTCTCCCACTTGGTCCATTCCTGCCTGTAAAGTTTACTTATCTTTTGCCCACAAAAACTATGGCTTTGTCATCCATCCCTAGTGTAATTAATGACATTCATCATCAGAGCAGCAATGCATCCATAACCTGTGATCGTTAGCCATTCCATACATGGGTTCTGCACATGTTGCTGTTCTATAAATTGAGGACACATACCTCATCCCTTCTCGATATCTTCAACAGGGTTATTATCTGCCACTGCTATACTTGGAGTCCACAGTATTGAAACAAAGCAAGGCAAAACAAAATTTCTCTCCCCTAGTTGTTCTAGTATTCTGACCTTTACAAATTCAATATATTTTCATATATGTATGTGTGTGTGTGTGTGTGTGTGTGTGTGTGTGTGCATACAATGTGACCACCTATTTGTGTATGCATGTATAGGTCATGGGTACATATGCGTACAGGTTAGAGATCAATATCAAGCATCTCACTCTGTCACTCCTTACCTTATTGTTTTGAGACAACATGTCTCATACCACCCATGATCAATTTGGCTTGTTAACCAATTAGAACTAGGGATCTGTCTGGCTCCACCCTCACCCCCAAAGCTGCAATAACAGATATATCCCCCTGGGCACAAATTCTATGCAGTTGTTGGGAATTCAAACTCTAATCCTTATGTTTGTGTATCAGGTACCTTACCAGCTAAGCCATTTCCCCAGACCTCAGATTAAGTATTTTCAAAACCTGTTTTAGTTATCAGTATTCCACAACAATTCTCTGCAAACCTTATTTATTTATAACCATAAATGAGGATAGTATACCAGTTAGTAAGGTCCAGGAAGTGAGGAGTGACTAAGCTGAGGTTCAGGGCCAGAATATGCTATAAAAGACTACAGTCTAGGTGTCTAGACCTGTAAACATCTGAAGGCACCAGCGTGTGTATGCCTGTGCATGTGTGTATGAGTATATGCGTATATATGCATATGTTTATGTAGCTGTGTGTTATATGTGTGTTTGAGTGCAAAGAGGGATTTTGTAATAGAGCTTTTATTGTTGACAATTTCATTTGTTATTGTATCATCTGATGATTGACTAAAAGTTACTCATAGTAGACTCCTGAAGGAGGCCCTTTGGAAGCAATAATTTCAAATTCTACCATGCTCAAAATCTTTTATCTTTTGCCTTACACTTCAAGCACAATTTCACTCAGAACAGTATTAACTTATGTTGGCCTTTATTCTACCATTATAGAATATTAGGGTTTTTTATTTGTCTGCTGAACGAAGGGTTCGTTATTTTTCAGTCATCTTAGTGATCCACTAGAATGGCACTCCATCACTCCACGTTCTGGATTACTTACTCTAGAGACATGCTTCCTGGTTTTGTTTTTCCCTATTTTCTCAAATTTATTTCAGAAGCAGTTTCTTGAGTTAAAATTTTATTTTAGCTTATTATTATGATTTTGTTTTTCAAGAGTTCATTTTCAGTATTTGTGGGATTGATTTCAACTGTGATGCACTCTTCTCACCCTCTCTAATTCTTTCTTACTTTTTAGTATCTAGTTGATTGTATTTGTATCTTTGTCGGTTGTTACTTTTTTCGAGTCCCACTTTCTCTTTGTTATTTCTAATTTTCTCTTAATTGTTATTGTATTTTTTTCCTTGCTTATCCATTTGGCTTGAGCACATTCATCTGTTGGTCTTGTCTTGGTCACCTCTCCTTGACACCTTGCACTTCTGTATTATGAAACCAATTTAAACATAACATCATTATTCATTACATTTCCAAAGCTCATGGTGAGGTGTTTGACAACAGTAATTCTCCTGGATTTCTTCACACACTTTCCCTTCTTTTCTCTCTTTCGGTACTTTTGTAGTACATTAATCTTTTTAATTTTGTAGAAAAAATGTAATTGGAAAGTTATGAGAAAGTCTAAATAAAGTGCATATAAATTATGAGTGTTGCATGCTCATTCTCCTGAGGCAGAACAGAAAAGTGATTCCTCACACCCATAGTTCCTACATTCTCTCAATAACTCTCATTGGATCATTTCTTTGTCTCTCTCTCTGTCTCTCTCTCTGTCTCTCTCTGTCTCTCTCTGTCTCTCTCTGTCTCTCTCTATCTCTCTCTCTCTCTCTCTCTCTCTCTCTCTCTGTGCGCATGTGTGTGTGTGTGTGTGTGTGTGTGTGTGTGTGTGTCTGTCTGTCTGCCTAGCTGTCCTTTGCAAATGCATGCCTACCATGGTTAATTTGTAAAGGTGAGAGAACAACTCTTGGGAGTTGGTTCACTTAGCATTGATACAGTCTATTTAATGATTTATTTGCTCTGAGAAGCTCCTTTAGTGATCTACAATGTGTTTTATATTTCATACCACCACTCATATTGATTATGTAAAGCCTAGTTTTCAAGACAGAAAACAATATGAAATGGATAAAATGGGACAAAAGATGTGGAATTCAGTTCTTGCTATCCATTTTTTTTTTGCCTTTCCTTCACCCAAAAGAGAAATTACACCAGGAAAAGAAATAAACCTTTTATTCAGAAACATGCTGTGATAAAAAGGATAATAAAAATGCCAGGGAAGTCATGAAAATAATTAAATGTTTAATATATTCACACAGACAAAGAAAAATCACAGGAAATTTTATAAAGTCTAATGAAAGAGAAAGATATTTAATGATTATAATACTCAGGCAAAGTTTATAATTTTAAAAAGTTAAGTAATGATTCATGTTTCATCCAAGTATTTTATTTCCTTTTAAGAAATTAAGAAAACTAAATTTCCTGTCTCCCTAATTCTCAAATGGAGACTAACACAAATCCATGTGAGCTTCCTCCTCATTGCTTTACAGCCGCACGGAAAGCTTTTCTCCCCCTTTCCTGTTCATTTCGTCATCTGTTTTTGGATCTGCACATAAAATTTTAGTAAAAAAAATAGTATTTCTATCTAAGTGTAATGAATCACTGTTTATATGTTATATATGTATATATGTATGTATATATACATACACATTTATCTCAAAGTTATAAAAATTCCAGCATGCTTTTGATTTAATCTTTTAATTTATTTGAGAATTTCACGTGAGTACTATATTTGCATACTATCTATCCTCACTTCTTTCTCCTACTCTCTCTGCACCCCATCACTCACACTGAAATTTATGACCTCTTCTTTATTATTGTTGTACACACACTCACTCATATATACATACATATATGTGTAAATATATATGTGTGTATGTATATTCACACATAAATACAACCTGCTGAGTCTACTTAGTATTACTCCAACCCTAAAACACGATACATACATATGCATGTATACATGTACTTGTATATATTGCATGTGTATTTTTAAATGAAATGTGTTCAATGCTGACTAATTGGGATTAGACACCTATAAGGGGCTTGTCCCTGGTAAGAGTCAATCTCCTGCTCTCAGTAGTCATTAATTGCTTGCAATTCTTCATCTAGAGGTCGAGACTTGTGGCACCACCTATCCACATTGACATATCAAAGGGCAGTTTTGTTGTGCTGGTCTTCTTTAGGCAACCATATTGTTTAGATTTCATGAGTGTTGTTTCCCTATCATTAGTTAAAAAAAAATACTGTCTCATACAAAAGTCTTAGTCTTCTGGCTCTTAAAATCTTTCTAGCCCTCATCCCTGATGTTTCCTGAGATTTAGGTCCATATAGTCTCTTTGTTGTAGGTGTGCCACTTGGGATTCGGCTCTGCATGGTCAATTGCTCTCTGCATTTTTACTAGTTGAGGATTTCTGTAATGGTTTCTGTTTATAACAATAAGCATCTTTGGTGAGGGGTGACTACAGCACTTAAATGTGTGTACAAGGATACG